GGACACTCAAAAAATATATAACATCAAATCGATCCTTAACCTAAGAGTCAAAATTGAACCAATAAGGAAAAATACAAAAGTTATACCACAGTGTACAAGATGCCAGGAATTCAATCACACCAAATCCTACTGCAAAAAATCTCCCAGATGCGTAAAATGTGGTGCAAATCATCTTACCTCTGCATGCAACAAGAGCCGCAATACTCCACCAAAATGTTCCAACTGTAATGGGGCGCATCCTGCCAACTATAGGGGATGTGAAGTTGCTAAGGAACTCCAGCGTAGAAGAAACTTGGCCCTAAATGCAAGACAAAAATCTAAAGCTTCTTCGGGGGCTCCTCCAATATCCCAAGCTAAGCCAAAGAATATGAATGTACCTGTGATACCTCAAATAATTGAGAAAAAAGCAACTGCCAAAACCAACTCGACCAAAAAGACCTATGCCCAAATGGTTTCAAGATCTACAACAGAAGAAATTTTAGAATTGATACTAAAAAGACTTGACGACCAAAAAGTAGCTGAAAAACATTTTAATGATAGATTAGATAGATTAGAAAATAAAATAAACTCGAGATTAATTAAAAGATGACGCAAACCCTAAGAATTATGACTTGGAATGCCGATGGTCTTCTGCAACATACCCAAGAGCTTGAGCTCTTTCTCAACAGAGAAAAAATTGACGCTTGTTTGGTTACAGAAACCCACTTTACCAAAGAAACTCACTTAGAAATAAGTGGTTATATGTGCTATAACGCTGTTCATCCAGATAATAGAGCTAAAGGTGGCTCGACAATCTTTGTTAAAAGCAATATTAAGCATCAAAGACAAGTAAATATCGAAAAACAAACAATGCAAGTGGCTTCGGTCAAAATTAATATTAAAAATAAAAATCTAATGATTTCCTCCATCTACTGTCCTCCAAGGTACAATTTGAAAATGGAGGATTACAAATCAATGCTGGATTGTATGGGTGAAGATTTTCTGGTCGGCGGCGATTTCAATGCTAAAAACACATTCTGGGGATCTAGACTCACCACTCCTAAAGGTAAAGCCTTATATGAAGCAGCAGCTGGAATGGGTTGTATTTTTCATTCTACGGGGAGGCCTACATACTGGCCGACTGACAGAAATAGAATTCCAGACCTTTTGGACTTTTTCATAAGTAGAGGAGTCTCCGAAAATTACATACATGTAAGTGAAAGTTACGATTTAAACTCAGACCATTCTCCAGTTATTTTGACAGTCTCCGAAACAGTGATACTCAAGCCAGATATACCCAAATTAACTAACAGAACAACCAACTGGGATTTATTTAAGAGTATACTTGAAAATAACACTTTGCTAAACGTACCCCTCAGAAATAAACACCAACTTGAGGATGAACTCGACACATTCATCACAAATGTGCAAAACGCTGCTTGGGATAGCTCCTCAGAAATCAAAATAAAAGGAAAAAATGTATTGTATCCATTGGAAGTAAGGAATCTCGTAGCTGAAAAAAGAAAAGCACGTAAAATATGGCAAGGTACAAGGTTTCCACAGGACAAAGCCCGTGTTAACCAACTTGGAAACAAACTTAAAAAATTGCTAAAAGAGATAAAAAATGCAGCTATAGCCAACTACTTGAGTAATTTATCTGCTGACAAGGAACACGACTACTCTTTGTGGAGGGCCGTTAAAAATGTTAAGAGGCCTAAGTATCAAGTGCCCCCAATTAGAAAAGACGATGGTTCTTGGATAATAAATGATGCAGAGAAGGCAAATTGTTTTGCGGAATTCCTTGAAAAAACCTTTGTGCCACTACCCAGACAAACATCAGAGGAAAATCTAACTCCAGTAAATCAAATTGCTCCTGTTCAAATCCCGAAAATTAAAATGGGCGAATTAACAGCTGAAATCAAGAACCTAAAAAATAATAAGGCTCCAGGATACGATTTGATAACAGCTGAAGTATTAAAAAAACTACCTGAAATCGCTGTAAAGAAATTGCTTTACTTGTTCAATGCATCTTTACGAATAAAGCATGTGCCAGACCAGTGGAAGGTCGCAGAAATCATCATGGTACCTAAACCTGGCAAACCGGCCAATGAAATGAAGTCATATAGACCAATTTCCCTTCTACCAGTGATTTCAAAACTTTTTGAAAGAGTGTTATTAAATCGTCTAAAACCAGTTATCGAGAGCAGAGGTTTGATTCCTGATCACCAGTTTGGATTTCGGACTAGGCACTCCACTATTGATCAGGTCCACAGGCTGACGAACGTCATTGAAAACGCCTTAGAAAAAAAAAGAGTATTGCTCAACCGTCTTTTTAGATGTGGCCCAGGCGTTCGACAGAGTTTGGCACGGGGGTCTCAACTTCAAAATAAAAGAAAATCTGCCGGAGCCGTTTCCTAAGATATTAAAATCATACCTTTCGAACAGGCTGTTCAGGGTTAAATTTGAGGAGGAATACTCAAGCTTCAAAAAGTTAGAGGCTGGTGTGCCTCAGGGAAGTGTTCTTGGACCTCTTCTCTACCTTCTTTACACTAGAGATATCCCGCAAAATGATGAAACATTTCTTGCAACATTCGCAGATGATACAGCGATTCTGGCAACAGGTAAAACTGTTGTTGAGGCCACAAGTAAGCTGCAAGTTTCGTTAGACGAAGTGTCTTCTTGGACTAAAAAATGGAGATTTCAGCTGAATGAATCCAAATCGGTTCATGTAAATTATACCAACAGGAGGGACGATCCGGTTGGGGTCCAACTTAATGGTGTAGTAGTTCCATATGACAACGAAGCAAAGTACCTTGGTATGACACTCGATGCAAAGCTTAAATGGAAGGAACATGTCAAAAAGAAAAAAACAGAACTAAATATCAGACTTAGAAATATGTATTGGCTCCTGGGAAGACATTCTGAGCTTAACATACATAATAAACTCTTGCTCTACAACCAGGTTCTTAAGCCTATATGGACTTATGGTATACAGCTCTGGGGCTGCGCCAAAGACAGCAATATTAAAATTATACAGACTTTCCAAAATAAGGTCCTCAGAATCATTACTAATGCGCCATGGTACGTAAGTAACGATACTCTACATCGAGATCTGAATGTACGTACAGTCAAAGAAGAGATTAAAAAACACGCCATACACCATCAGTCAAGATTACTTCAGCATGACAATCCCGAGATGCTGCAACTATTAGATGTTGGTCAAGTGCAAAGACGCCTAAAACGGACCAGACCACTTGAACTCGTCGACTAGATCAAAATAAATTTTGTTACGGGGAACTCATCGGTGGATGATGCGCCCATAACCCCCACTTCAAGACAGAAAGAAATTGCTAGATAGGAATTACTTTCTTAGTTGCAATATGAAATATAATAAAAAAAAAAAAAAATTTTTATCATACTTTTGTATGGCCAGGAACACAACTGTAGCGCCTGGTAGATTCAAGAATGCCGAAGAAGTCAAGAGGACATTCGGGCAACTAAGAGCACCTTTGCGAGCATGAAGCAAAGGTAATAACCTATCGCAAACACGTGCTTGGTGGATTAGTTTTAAGTGATGGGGAGGGGGGAGAGGGGGGGAGGTACTTTACAATAGATCTTTTAGGCGGGACATAATCGCCCCATTCTTCAGCCTTATATCTTATATGTACTTCTGTTCCATAAAATTGATAAAATTAAATAAATCAGGGTAGGGATATTTCTGAAATGACAATTTAGTATAAAATTATAAACTAAACTTTGAATGTCTCAAGACAATCATCAGAGTTTTGATTACAATCAAAATAACTCATAATTTATAACAATAAAATTCATTCTTTAGACTTTCGTTACCAAGTTTACCCTGTTTAAATTAGTTGTTCAGGAATATAAGTTGTATAGGAAAATAAAAGTAATCAATTGAGTCTTGTGACGACAGCCGAAAATTCATATTAGTTTTCGTTATCAGGCGTATTATTTTTTATCTTAGTTATAAAATGGCCATTGACTGATTTAGAAGGTATAATTTGATGTTTATGACCAAAATCAGAATAATGTAGATGTTGATAATATTGCTAATATGTTGAATTAATCCTAATAGTGGCCAATTTTTAGCTAACAGCTTTTTTATTTGTGAAAGTTCTTTAATTGTCATATGTTTTTTAAAGTTTCAAATATGAAGCCACAAAATTAAATATTTTATTGTTTCCAGTTTATAAATTTTTTATTAAATAACAAAAAAATTTAAAAGAAGCTTATTCCAATAAATCCTGCAAACCGATATTATTACAACATTATATAGCATTACAAAACACATTTGTTAACCGAATGTGCTGTATTTTAGTGTCAAACATAGGACACAATTAGCACAAAATTTTGTTTTTGTTTTCTTTCCCGAGGACCGAGGTCCTTAGGTCCTTTTCACGTCGACCCAGACGATCTTTTGTATCGGTACTAAGTTTACTTTGCAATTGTTTTATTAAATAGAAAAGTCCTCTTTTTAATAATTTATCTTTATTTAGAGTATTAGTTTCTTCTCTTTTTCATATTTCACATCATACCTTCAGATACTATAACTTTGTTTTTAAATTTTGATTAGATCTAAATGAGTACAAAAGTATTATGTATGAAATTATGAAAAATTTAGTTTTCTTAGTTTTGCACAAATTCCTAGAAAAAAATATCTGTAATTCGAACTTTTTGGAAATACATGTATATTTATCTGTTAACAGAATAGTTCATTTGAGCTCATATTACGTCCTATATTGAGAGACAGCGAGTAATGGTGACCAAATATTTACGTAGTATTATTGAAGTTTTTTTGTTTTAATATTCAGTAAAATCTAAGTTTAAATTATATCTATGTATGTATGTGCATTCAACACTTGAAATTCGTTGTCATTTGAGCAATAACTTTAACTAAATAACGTATAACTTTATAAAAATTGCATGAACTTAAACTAAGTTTAAATTTTTACTAAAAAAACACAAAATTAGCAAACATCAAAACATATTTCAGAACTTACCATTTCAAAAGTAAATAAATATATGTACGTATTTGTATTTGAAATCTACATTTAGGTATATCTATGTATATCTAAAGTCTATATTTCAATAAATGCAATATTAAATTCACTCAACAAAGTTTGTGCTCAACACTCAACACGAAAATGTGAACTATTTAAAAAAAACTAGTTGCACTACTAATTAGCTCGGCCGATATATCATAAATATTAACATCGACATATCGATAGAATGTCACTTCAAATACTTCAAAAAACATCGACGGTTTCCTCGTATTTTTTTCCTGATATGTGTAGCATTTGTAGCGCAAAACGAATTAGGAATACCAAACGAAAAAGCATCTTTGTTTCTATCTCGCTTACACTACCTAAAAAATCGAATCTTGAAAAATAAAAATAGTGAAGCCAAAAACTTCAAGAAAGTTTCTTCTTTGCTCTGCTATATATAAAGTAAACAAAAGTTTTGTTATTTTATTTAAAAAATTAGTGCAGTTTGCAAATAAAAAATCTTAAAATATTTAAAAATAAGTGTTAAAGAAAGAATATTATCTTATAAAAACTTATTAAAAAATTATGGCAAAAATATTAACACTATGTAAATCGAATATCGCGAATTTGCGTATGCGAAAGTAGCAAAAATGGTACTACAGAATGCTACTTTCGCATACTTTTCATTCACTTGCCATTTTGTATACGCTGTGAAAATCTAAGTTAAACAAAAAAAAACTAAACAATGTAAGTGTTATGTTTATTTCGCTTTGTTAAATTAAAAAAATCTTGCATTTCAAATTTACTGCAGTTCACTAAATTTTTGTAATTAATAATTATAATTATAGGTCAAAATAAAATACAAATCCTTTCCGGTTTAAGAAAAATAGCACTAATTTTGTACTAACAACCAAATTTGTTTCGCTTCCATTTTCTTGACTTTACTCGACCATATTTGTTTAAAAAATTGACAGCAATCGCCTCCTTAATATTATACATACATTTAAATGTTTGATATGCAAGGGTTTTTTAATTTATTAAAGCAAAATAAATGTAACACATTGTTTAGTTTTATTTTTTGTAACACTTACCGTAATCAGCAGATGTCGGGGAAACAACACTCAACAGGAACGACAAAATTCAACGATCTGTTTACTTTACTACTTTTCTAAAATCAATTAAAATGAAAAATTTATTTTTAATAAAAATTATGTGTTACACAGTGCTTAAAAGTCGTTTTAACAGCTTATTTTTATTAATTTGCAAATATACATATTAAAAATTCATTAATATATTTATTTAATTTAAACACATTCATTTGACACGTGCATTTATAAAAAAGGTCGTTTCCGTTTTTGATTATTTAATATTTATAAATTGACAAACAGCCTAACAACCAAATGTATTCCGGTTCGACATAGTTCGGCTTGCCAAACTAAATACTACTTAATTGAAATTTCATTTAATTCAACGACACCGCAAAATTGTTTTTGAAATATGTAGTCGTTATAGTTGTTCTTCTCATTGGGCGTCGAGGGTTAGACTTTCGCAGTAAGATTTGTAAACAAAATGGCAAGTGAATGAAAAGCATCCAAAAGTAGCATTCTGTTGTCCTACTTTTGCTACTTTCGCATACGCAAATTTGCGATATTCGATTTACATAGTATCAAAATTTGAAATGCGAGAATCGTTTAAAGACGGTAATACCATATAGTAGGCCACATGGCTTCTGAGAAAGTGAGAAATTTTAGGTTTTCGATTACCCAACATTTGCACATACAAGTTACTTGCAAGTAAGTTTGTATAATATTAATTGTCAATTAGTTTTTCGAAATGTCAAATTACTTGCTATTATAACGTAGGCGTTTAGCAAGTTAATTTTTGAAAATGTCTTTGAGAAGAAAACAACTAGCAATATATATAATTGTTTATAAATTTTAGAAACCATAAGTTTGCTAAGTTTAATTTTTTCAAAACAAAATTCAAAAATTTTAAATTAAAAAAAAAAAAAAAAATCAAAACAACAAATTTTTTTTTGTGAATTTCTCAATATGTCAAATTACTTGCTCAAATTACTGGCAGCAAAATTTTTTGCAAGTTGAACTGCAAGTACACAAGCAAGTAGAAATATTTCAATGTGTTAGTAAAATTTTTGTATGTATTGCAACTTTCTTGCAAGTAACTTGTACGTGTAAATGCTGGGTTACGTACGTCTATTGATTTCAATATACATACATAGAGTGTTGTTAATTTCAACTTGTTTTTCAGTAGTATTTTGTGTTAAAAAAAATTAGTATGAAGAGCTTTAGCGTAGTAATTTGGAGTTATCCTTAATACCAAACAAATAGTAAGGCATCTAGCTATATAGATGCGTAGCAGGAAGTGCTTGGGTAAAAATATTTTTGTTTTCGTACATGTAAAATCAAGTCATCCAAATGACATATACGCCTACGTAACGTATTGATATTTTCGATTTTGGCAACGTTAGGTACATTTTTTTTCTGTTTTTTGATTGTTTTTTTTTGTCAAATTGATCTGGTTACTGTTAATTCACATATCGCGTAGAGGGCGACCATAAGCATTAACAATTTATAAACTTTTGGAAAATAATTTTTAATTTTAGAAAAAAAAAATTTATATTTTATGGCCTCTTTATTTTTGTGCAAGTGGTTTTTTTAGCAACACAATAATGGCATTTTCATAAGCCAATGTATGTATTGAAAAAAGTAGTAAAAATGGCTTTGCCGTAGTATAGTAGTACAAAATGCCAAAATATAGTACAATTGTAATAAAGTTAACAATACTGCATACATATTCTATTATGTATGTATATGTGCAACAATATAGCCTTTTTTACAGTGCACGTGTTGTTTAAAAAGAAACATGTTTACTTTGGAATGCTAAACATTTATACTTAAAATAGATAAATTTGGAAAGATTATGACGGAAAAAAATAAAGATTTGAACAGGTTCCGGGTGAGTATATTAACAAATTGATAAATCTTGAAAAATTTTAAAATTTAAATTTTTCTAGTTTAAATCCTTCAGTGAAAGGATAAGTGAAATAGATATTCGACAAACTGCATTGTATCGTATTGGTATAGAAAATGAAAATGTTCTACAAGAAAATGAAACATATTTTCACCAAACTATTCGAAAATGGACAGTTTTGAACTTGACAGCGGAATTTAGCGATTTCAGTAGGAGATTTTATAATGTAATATCACTTCCGCAACTATTACACCAAAAAGATATTATAATAGACATCTTACTTGAAAAACTATCAACCTCCACAACATTATTTTTGCAACCCCTATTAGAAATACTAGTGAGTCTTTCAAAAGATTTAAGTGAATACTTCTGTAACACAGAACATTTTCAAAGAATATTCGATTGTTTGATTTCCTTATTAAACACTCAGAATGTAGAGCAACTAGAGTGGACTTTAATTTGCTTGGCATACCTTTTTAAGACTCTTAAGACGTTTCTAAAAAGATATGTAAGTTTCATATTTCACCTCGTTATTCCACTTTTTGATGAAGAGCAGTGGCCAGATCATATTAGAAATTTTGCTGTTGAGTGTCTTGCATATATTGCTCGAGATGTAGTAAATCAGAAAAAGCTATTAGAAGTTTTTATAAAAAATATTGAAAAGCAAGGCAGAGGTATAATTAAAGGCGGTGGAAAATTGTTCTTCGAGATTATTAGGGGAGTCAATAAAGATTTTCACTCGGTCGCACAGAAACTTCTTCCGCTTTTACTTGAAAGTTTATTGAGTGATATAACTCCGATAAATGATATATTGACCGAAATTGTCAAAGAAATGGTTCACCACATTTTGAATTTCGTAAACACAAGTAATATGTCAATTATTTGGGATTCAATTTTTACTGTTGTCGAAAAAATATTAGCAACGGATGAACAAAATGAAAACATAATTCGATTAATTCAAATAATTGGTATATGCATAGAGCATAAAAGTGGGGAATATTTAATCAGTCCCAATTTACTTGCTAATGTCGTATTACAAATTTTTGATTCCTATAATTCGAGTGAAGTAGTTCTTACTCAGCTTAACAAGATATTATGTTGTTTATTACTTTCTAATTGTAACATTACTCAATTTGATCTAAACAGAATGTGTAAAAAAATTCTTACTGTTCCATATCGTTCTGTATATGAGAATTTCATTTGGAATATGAAATCACATCCACAATTTGAACTGTTCATGCTTCCGAGTTTTTTGAAATTTATTGAATCGAATTTTGATATTCATAGTTTGACATTTTTGACTAAAGTAGTTCTATTTAAAGCACCATTATGTGAAGACGGTAGGAAATACATTGACTGGAAAAAATATCCTATTAAACTCAACAATACTGGAAGAATTTTAAACGTTGTCGAATGTAAAAAGGAAGATGAATGTAAAGTTGAATTATATTTATTGGTTTCAATTGTTGCGCCACATTTGGAAAATATAAAAGTGCAAAGCGATATTAAAAATTATATAGAAAGCGAAATAAACAAAATTTTGCAAACATTTGACGAAATTGAATTAGATAGTAACATCCAAAAGCAAACTATTGTGCTAGCTGTATTTGTTGAAAATCTTTTTCATTTAAATTTAAAAATTGAGAACATTTTACTACAGAACATAATTAACACCATTATAACATTTTGTGGAAAAGAAAAATTTATTTCATGCTTAAAATTGCTAAATTTGATTTGTGTTTACTGTAATTCAAATTGTAAAGAGTTACTTACATACGATCTATTCACAAAAATACATAAGGTAATTTCAAACAACTTATCTTCTCCATTGATGGATTTTAGATCGTTAACAGCGCACACACTTAACCAATTTTATAATGCACAAAATCTTATTACAAACGATGTCTACCAAGTTTTTTATAAAATTGAATGCACCGAAACTACAATTTATACATACAGAGAAAAAATTATATTAATCAACAAATTGCTTCCTAATGGGGTGTACATGAAACATTTAGTCAAAACATACGTGATTCTGGACTGTTTGAAATTTTTGCTAGGTTTATTATATCATAATTTTAAACTGTTGTGGGAACCAATCTTCGAAGTAACCCAAAATCTAGTAAACTGCTTGTCGCTAACTTCGGAATTTTGTGAAATTTATAAATCTAAACTGGAAACAACAGCAAAAATTATTAACGAAGAAATAGCAGATCCAACATTAGTAGTTTTTAGTGGTAAAACATTCTCTTCAGAAATTCTTCAACAAATATTCGAAAATGCAATAGACTATAAAGTTAAAGTAGATTACAGAAATTATCGTAATTTACTGTGGTCAAAATTACCTACATATAAACAACTCGTTGAAATTAAAAATAGGGATATTGTTACGATATTTCTAAATTTTTTTAATCAAGAATACAAAGTTTTAAAAAAAAGAGATACTACGTGGGACTTATTAGAAACTTGCAATAAAAATAATGATAAAGATTGCTTAAAGGTGCCGGAAAAAAATGTCAAGCAACTTACTCAATACAATAAAACATTCAAAAATACAGTTCAAACGTTGGTAATAAAATTAAATGTATTTAAAAATCAAGATAACCCAAAACAACTTCATCGCCAAAAGGAACTTTATCAAGTCTATTTGGAGTTATTAATGTGCTCAAATACTCTTCTGCAAAAGTTGGCGTTAGATTGTTTAATGGCATATAAAAACACTTACTTGATAATGTATAAAGACCATCTTTATAATTTTGTCGATGAAGAAAAATTTAAGGATGAAATATTAACTTTCAAAATTAATGCAGAAAGTCCGGAAAAAGAAATTAAATTCAGTCCGGAATTTGTGAACATTTTAATGCGCATATTGCATGGGAAAATAAATTCAAAGGTGGCTGGCACGAACAAGAATAAGCAAGTGAGAAAAGGTTTGTATTTATTCGTCATATTTAAAAATATTTTATTATTAAAAAAAATTTCAGCCCAAATTTTGCAATTTTTGGCAAATTTTGCGAAGGATGACAAATTTTGGTTTTTACAATTATTTCTTAAGGATTATGGAAATGTTTTTGAGAATGATTTAGAAAATATGGTAGCCCATATTGACGTCGAATTTAACTTAAAAAGCGTTTTGTCTGCTAAAATATTTAAGAGCACACTAAACCTTATAGCATTAACATACAAAAGCTTTATAGGACTTATGGATACAGATTTTCTAACATATATGTTTAATATAATGATATATATTGGTTATACCTGTGAAAAAGTGTTACGAAATTCAGATAAAATTCAAAACATTAAATTTTTGATTATGTATAAGAACGTTAAAATAATAGCTCTGGAAGGTATAACTAATTTTTTTGCGCATTTTAAGAACTTTGACTGGGAAGAAAATCAAATAAAAACAATAAATGAAATATTTATTTGCCCAAGCATAAGAAAATTAGCTTACGAAAGCATACATAATCCAACTCCACTATTAAAACTCCTTTGTATATGGTCACAAAATAAGCGATATTTCTCCTATTTCCTAATTGAAAGTGAAGAAGGCCTAGTTGCGTTCAAATTTGTTATTGATTTACTTTTGAATGAGAAAGCTCGACCCATAATACGAAAAACAATTTTAGAAATGATTGAACGACTATTATTGTCATGTTACAACGAATATGATGAATTTGATGTAAATAGTTTTGGTGCAGCTGTTATAAGACCACATATACATCAAATTTTACGGCGTCTTCAAAACAGTTTATGTTTAAAAAAGTGCAAAAACAAGGTAAACAAACGCGATATGAATATAATATCAAGTTTAACGTATTTTGTACAAGATTTAGAAATATGTAACAATATAACCGAAATATTTTTACCCATTTTGCTCGCAAAAACAAAAATTGCAAATAAAGAAACCCAACAATATACCATTGCAGCTGTATGCAATTTAATAAAAAATTCTAGTAATTCCGTAGACTATCTGAAAAAGATTTGCGTATTATTTGTTGATACTAAAGTAATCGGCTTAAGAAAGCAATTGTGCGAATTACTATGCGTAATATCTGAAAAATACATATCGACTTTACCACATATGATAGAATTAGCTAAAGTTATAAATGAACTAAATGCGTGGGACAAAAGATGGGTAGAACAACCAGACTATTGCAAAAGGATTTCAGCGATCAAATGTTTAATAGGAATTTTAAACTCTAGAAAAATTAATCTTGATTTTGGTATTATAGTAGCATGCAATTGTTTTCATTTTTTGAAATATGACAGCGATGTGGGATTACGGGAAAATTCAAGTGAACTTCTCAAAATATTGGTACCAAAACTATTAAAAGATAATCAACATTTAAATGAGGATGTGGACTATATTATAAATGAAGTCTTTTTTGAAATTATAAAAAACTTACTTCGGGACAACAATGATGTTGCACGTAATGAAGGAATTTTGATATTAAGGGAAATGGCAAAAGAATGTTACATGTTAAATCCCATTTTAAGAAATCTTTGCCATCTAGTTGACTATAAGGATGAAGAAACTGATTTTTTCGTAAATATCTCCCATCTACAAAGTCAGCGACATATCAAAGCCTGGCAGAGATTTTCTAATATTACCAAAAATTTAAATGAACCATTTTATGTGAAAACATTAACAAACTTTTTACTTCCGTTGACGTCAAAATATTTACTAAACGAAAAATATTCCAATAAAAATGCTTTAATTGATGCTGTTCTTGAATCTGTCGGTATTATTTGCAAACTTTTACCTTGGAAACAATATGAAATGTTACTAAAATATTATTTGCGAAAATTGAGAACGTCAAATGAGCATCAGAAACAAACTGTTCGAATAGTAGTAACAATATTAGATTCATTTCATTTTGATTTATCAAATACAAGCGATAGTGAAAAAATTATAGATAATTATAATTGTACAACAGAAAATCAAGATCAACTTAAAATTTCAAAAGAGAATACAGAGCAGAGTGCAGATTTCATCAGGGAAACTCTGGCGATTCAATCACAGCTTAAATATGTTGAGAATAAAAATTTGGAGAAAAAGTCCAGCTTTCCAACGAGTGTCACAATTTTGAAGACTTCCTCCGCTAAAAGAATTTTGAACAATATTTCCTCTATAATAATTCCGACTTTAAATAATTCTATAAATGAAAAAAGTATTCATGATTCAAGGCACAAGTTGAATCGGAAACGATATAGTATAGAAAGGGAAGAGGAAGAAATACATAAAGTTCCGATAGCTCTTGCATTAATAAAACTTTTGCAAAAATTACCTAAGAACTATTTAGAAGATAATTTACCAGGAGTTTTCGCGAAGGTTTGCACATTTTTAAAATCGCCTTTAAAGTCCGTTAGAATGCTAACTAGAGATATTTTAAAAAAGATCATGTTATCTCTAGGATCTAAATATTTACCATTGTTGATTGAACAATTACGAACTTTATTAACTCGAGGTTTTCAAATTCATGTTTTGTCTGTAACACTGCATGGCGTATTGGATATTTTAAAGGAAAAATTTGAACCTGCACATATCGAATTATGTTTACAAGATATTTTAGAAATAATTCTGAATGATATATTTTCTGAATTTATTGACCAAAAAGAAATTAATAAAATTGCAGCTCACACACCGGAAGCAAAACCAAGTTCAAAAAGCTATTTGTCGTTACATATTGCAGCCAGAAATATTCCAGAATCTTGCCTTCTAGATATACTAATTCCTTTCAAAGAATATTTAGCGCAGAATATATCGCAAAAATCGGTCGCAAAAATTGAGGTCTGTTTCCAAAAAATTATTATTGGTTTAGCGGAAAATACTTTAATATCAAAGGAAAGCATGTTATTTTTCATTTATGGCGCAGTATCAGAACAGATAGCAGAATTATTACCGAGTTCTCAGAACCAACAGTTGACCGAAAAAGAAAAAAATTACGTTACAAGAAATTTTTCTGATTGCTTTCTGGTCCCTGAGTCCCCAAACTCTAACTTTAGTATGCTTCACAAAAATGTGAAAAATAACGCGCAAGCTAACGCGCATGTTTTAATACAATTCGGATTAGAGTTGTTAAATATAATTCTCAAACGGAATAAAATTTCTAACATAAGCTATGAACCATATTTAAATCCAATTATACCAATTTTAAATAATTCACTGAAAAGTAATTACATCAAAGTTACTACGTTGGCACTGAAATGTTTAACATCAATTTGGAATAAGAATTACAAAATTGAGAAATGTAATTTAGAGATAAATAACATTTTAGAACAAATATTTAAAATATTGCATAAATATTCAGCTTGTGGGGCCACACGAAATGATGACAGCTTTTGTTTGGTAAAAAACGCATTGAAAACAATTGTAGCATTATTACGAAATGTAGCAAAAATTGATATGACTTCAACACAAATTGGGCAGCTTTTATTTTACATTGAACGATATATTTTGGAGACCGAACGGCAGCCAGCAGCAATTAACTTACTTAAAGCTATGGTTTTCCGAAAAATTCAACACAAAAAATTACATAATGTGATGAAAAACTTACCAAAAATAACTATAATATCTCCATCAATTTTTTTACAAGATGAAATTAGATCTTTGTTGATACAGTACCTTATTGAATATTCAAAGGAAAAAGAGTGTGAAAAAATAATAAAATTCTTTGCGATACAATTGAATTATGAAACCTCAATAGGAAGGATGTCTGCTGTTAAGTTTATTGATCTGGCAATACGTAAATTACCTTACGATTTTCTATTAAAAAAATCCGAATTTTTATACCTACAGTTGGGGACACGTTTAGTTAACGAAGAAATGCCGAGTTGTATAGCTGCAGTGGCAGAATGTATTGAAATTCTTATAGCCCGTGTGGACAAACATATAAAGCAACGGTTATTTGACATTACATTAATGTTCTTAAATAATGATAAAAAACCAGCGGTGCGGGAAATGGCTGCTACATTGCTTTCTCGTTTTATTTCGGTGGAAAAAACCTCATTTTTACCACGAATAAATATATTGTTTCCAATTTTGGTAACATTTTTAAATTCAAATACCTTTAAACAACCAGGTCACTCTGCGATAATGTCAATTTCAAAAAAAAGCGTTGTCAATAGAGAAAGTTTCAGTCTAGACGAAAAAAATATTTACATTCGAAAGGAAAAGGAAAAAGCTACTGACCATGAATTGATTCAAATTCAAAACTGCATACTCAAGATATTAGAATTTTTTTCTGATAGTATTCTCGTACATGCAGAATGGAATGAATCAATTGATAAATTAATATTTGAATGTCAAAACCTTCTGGGGTATGAGCATGAATGGGTCCGTTTGAATGCGGTTAAGATTATAAGACACATATTTTCTCATATTGATTACGAGTTAGTTACAAATATATTGACAAAAAAGACAAAAATTAATGAAAGTGATATTAGTTTTTTGTACGTGACGCCTGAAAACAGTATTAAAAACTTGACACTTGATTTATGTGCTCAAATGGTCCCAGGAAAAACTAGTGAGCTTTTGGCTGAGGAAATCACAAATATATTTCTCATATTTGCTAATATTTTGAAAGCAGTCCAATTAATGAGCAATGCAAAAAATACTACTGCAACTTACAATGAAAGTCATACAAGATGTAAATTAAATTTAAACTGGCTTTTAAGACGAATGCGCTATATAGTTCAAGCTGAAATTTCAAAAGCTCCTCATAGTTTTATTTTGGTATATACTGAAATACATGTGATTGCTGTTTTCCTAATTTTCTTCTTTTTTTCTGTAGCGAAAATTTGTTTTTAATTTCTACGAGGGATTAATAACCATATTGGACGTAAATATAATACAAGAATTGGCAGTAAGTATATTATCACCCTTAGTAAGAGAAATGGTTGAAGATGATCAAAATATTCACCCCGAATTGAACCAACAATCTTGCAGAATTGGAAGCAGGTTACGTAAAAAAATTGGATCTGTAGTTTACGATAAATTGAGGGCTGAACTTCAGACGAAGTTACTTCTAAAACGTACTTTAAGAAAGAAGGAAATCGCAATAGCAAAAGTTTTAAACCCAATAAAAGCAGTAAAACGAAAGAAATCAGTTTTAAAAAAAAAAGAAATATCAAAAAAGAGAAAGATAGATGTCATTAAAGGTAAAGTTGCTGGAAAAAAAAGGAAAAGAAAAAATGATGAATTATTTTAGAATAAAGTACATTTATTGATTTTACGAAAAACGTTAACTTCCTTTTTCTTGAATTCTGAAACTTTCAGAATTCGAAATGCATGTGTCTACCAAAAATAGATTCTATGTTAACTTGAATCTTTTGCAGATTCTAGGACTTTTCATAAACAGTATATCGCGTTATATAGCGAAAACTGCGCTATATTTGTGATCATAAACAAATATTGCTAATCAAATTTGTTTATAAACATTGCTAATCTCTCACAAAAATAGTTAAATTATTTTACCATGCCTATTACTAATGTCTTTACATCTAACAAGTCCCAAAACTCAATTTTTTTTACGAAATATTACGAATTTTTGGCTTCGTTCGTGTTTTTTTTTTAAATGCCACTGATCGTGTCATATTTCTTATTATTTTTTTAATGTCTTTATATCTAACAAGTCCCAATACTAAATTTTTTTTACGAAATATTACGAATTTTTGGCTTCGTTGCTGGCTTTTTCTTTAAATGCCACTGATCGTGTCATATTTTTTATTATTTTTTTCTTTTTTTTAAGTAAAAAAGAGTTTAATATTTTAAAAAATCTAAGGATATTATACATATTTTTTAAAAAACTTCCCATTTAAATTCTATTGCACGAAAAAGAAAGAAAGGTAGGAGGAAAGAAAAAATGAAAAAAAAATTCAAATTCATATTTCAGTATGGTTTCAAATGTTAATGAGGAAGGATGTATGATTTTTTATGCACATTTTGTATTTCCCAATAAGGTAAGTTGAGTAGTGTCGTCTAACAAAAATGTTATTAAAAGTAATAAAGGTTGACACATTTCAACAATTTGAATTATCTCATTTCGGTGATTTATAGATTACTTATAAAATTGTTTCAAATAATTTCAGTTAGTTTTTAAGTTATTTAGGTTTTATATAAGGTTGAGTAATGTCGACTAACAAAAATGTTAGTAAAAACAATATAAGGTTGACACATTTCAACAATTTGAATTATTCATTTCGGTTATTAATACGTTACTTATAAAAATGTTTCAATAATTTCAGTTAGTTTTTAAGTTATTAAAAATAAATATGTATGTACGATTACCTACTTCCCATCAATTTTTTTTTAAATAATTATTTTAAAACTATTTCAAACATGTTATATTAAGTGCTTCAAAAATTTGTTGTGCTCTTCTTTCATATTTTCTTAGCAGGTAAACAAGAGCAACTTATTTATAAAATGGCCCTGTCTGTGTATGAATATTAATAGTAAACGCAAACGGACAAAAATTTACGGATATCAGTACCTACTACTTGTCATTTTACAATCGGAGTTTTTGAGTCATTTGCTAAGATACTACTTATTTAAAAAATAAAAAAGATATTCGAATCTTTAGAATCTTTAGAAAATCTAGAAGTGTATATAAAATAAATCTTTGGAAAATTTAGAAAAATATATAAAATTTGTATTTAAAAAATAATATTTGATTGTATTTTAGATATTATTTTCTAATTCCCTCTTCAAATTTTTTCTTTACTATGTGTTCATATCAATATTTAATAATTATCTTTCATTAATTATATTCTCAACTTGACACCACAGTTACTTCCCATATCTTGAGTTAACTTACCCTATGAGAAAAAAAAAATGTTCACTTAAAAATAATGAAATACTTTCAGCAACATATAAAATGTTGAAGGCGAAGGTTGTGCTTGTTGTTTTTCAGTTGTTTCAAGAATTTTAAAATAATTATGAATGAAAATATTAATATATTTTCTTGATTTTCCAAATATATTTTTAGAATTTTACCTGCTTTATAATAAGTGTAAATTTATTTTAATATTTCTTCTCAAAATATAACCACTTCGATTTAAAAAAAACCCATATAAAATAAGTTCGTGCTTTCAAGTTTCTCTCTGAGCATTGGGACTTGTTAGATATAAAGACATTACTAGTACAATTAAATCAGCTGTACTCTTTTTTTTTACCAGTTTTTGCGGTTTGGTTTTACATTTTTAATTGTTAAGTATTGTACTTAAAAATAACTTTTTTTTTTGTTTTTCTTAGTTTTTATTTTTCCTAAAATAGAATTTTCCACTATTTGGCCCAAAATAAATAATTTTTTTTTGTTAGCGACAATTTTTATTCTTGAACACAATACTGCAAATTCAAAAAAATAAAAGTTTTACTACAACTGTCGAAATATATTGCGTATGTATCACATCATTGCTTGCAGTATTGTGTTAATGAAAATCTATTCTATATTAGTTTGAATTTTTTTTTAAATTTGGTGTAATCTGCAGAAATTACACTTATCCCTCGCTTTGCATAACTAATAATATTTTTCGGAAATGTTACAACCATATAACTTTCTACGTAAACTTATATAGGTACATACTACGGCTGACAGAAACACATGTTTGCTGGCCTGCAATGTAAAAATACGAAAGTCGAAAAATTTGCGTAAGTTGATTTGCGATCTGCAAGTGGTTTGGTACTACGAAATAAAATCGCATTGTAAAAAATTTAAACTGACAGCATTTTCTAAAATTTTTTGTTTTTGACATTTCTGGCAGTTTTTTCAAAGTAAGCATTTGAATTATTTTAAAAAAGTGATATATTTAAATGTATGTATAACATTAAGAAGACGATTGTTATTTTTTTAAACATACTTACATATATGAATAACAAAAAATCTTTATGCGGGTTAAGATTTAAATGTTAAAAAAGAAAAAAGAAAAAGAAAAAAATTACGTTACAAGAAATTTTTCTGATTGCTTTCTGGTCCCTGAGTCCCCAAACTCTAACTTTAGTATGCTTCACAAAAATGTGAAAAATAACGCGCAAGCTAACGCGCATGTTTTAATACAATTCGGATTAGAGTTGTTAAATATAATTCTCAAACGGAATAAAATTTCTAACATAAGCTATGAACCATATTTAAATAAATTATACCAATTTTAAATAATTCACTGAAAAGTAATTACATCAAAGTTACTACGTTGGCACTGAAATGTTTAACATCAATTTGGAATAAGAATTACAAAATTGAGAAATGTAATTTAGAGATAAATAACATTTTAGAACAAATATTTAAAATATTGCATAAATATTCAGCTTGTGGGGCCACACGAAATGATGACAGCTTTTGTTTGGTAAAAAACGCATTGAAAACAATTGTAGCATTATTACGAAATGTAGCAAAAATTGATATGACTTCAACACAAATTGGGCAGCTTTTATTTTACATTGAACAATATATTTTGGAGACCGAACGGCAGCCAGCAGCAATTAACTTACTTAAAGCTATGGTTTTCCGAAAAATTCAACACAAAAAATTACATAATGTGATGAAAAACTTACCAAAAATAACTATAATATCTCCATCAATTTTTTTACAAGATGAAATTAGATCTTTGTTGATACAGTACCTTATTGAATATTCAAAGGAAAAAGAGTGTGAAAAAATAATAAAATTCTTTGCGATACAATTGAATTATGAAACCTCAATAGGAAGGATGTCTGCTGTTAAGTTTATTGATCTGGCAATACGTAAATTACCTTACGATTTTCTATTAAAAAAATCCGAATTTTTATAAATACAGTTGGGGACACGTTTAGTTAACGAAGAAATGCCGAGTTGTATAGCTGCAGTGGCAGAATGTATTGAAATTCTTATAGCCCGTGTGGACAAACATATAAAGCAACGGTTATTTGACATTACATTAATGTTAAATAATGATAAAAAACCAGCGGTGCGGGAAATGGCTGCTACATTGCTTTCTCGTTTTATTTCGGTGGAAAAAACCTCATTTTTACCACGAATAAATATATTGTTTCCAATTTTGGTAACATTTTTAAATTCAAATACCTTTAAACAACCAGGTCACTCTGCGATAATGTCAATTTCAAAAAAAAGCGTTGTCAATAGAGAAAGTTTCAGTCTAGACGAAAAAAATATTTACATTCGAAAGGAAAAGGAAAAAGCTACTGACCATGAATTGATTCAAATTCAAAACTGCATACTCAAGATATTAGAATTTTTTTCTGATAGTATTCTCGTACATGCAGAATGGAATGAATCAATTGATAAATTAATATTTGAATGTCAAAACCTTCTGGGGTATGAGCATGAATGGGTCCGTTTGAATGCGGTTAAGATTATAAGACACATATTTTCTCATATTGATTACGAGTTAGTTACAAATATATTGACAAAAAAGACAAAAATTAATGAAAGTGATATTAGTTTTTTGTACGTGACGCCTGAAAACAGTATTAAAAACTTGACACTTGATTTATGTGCTCAAATGGTCCCAGGAAAAACTAGTGAGCTTTTGGCTGAGGAAATCACAAATATATTTCTCATATTTGCTAATATTTTGAAAGCAGTCCAATTAATGAGCAATGCAAAAAATACTACTGCAACTTACAATGAAAGTCATACAAGATGTAAATTAAATTTAAACTGGCTTTTAAGACGAATGCGCTATATAGTTCAAGCTGAAATTTCAAAAGCTCCTCATAGTTTTATTTTGGTATATACTGAAATACATGTGATTGCTGTTTTCCTAATTTTCTTCTTTTTTTCTGTAGCGAAAATTTGTTTTTAATTTCTACGAGGGATTAATAACCATATTGGACGTAAATATAATACAAGAATTGGCAGTAAGTATATTATCACCCTTAGTAAGAGAAATGGTTGAAGATGATCAAAATATTCACCCCGAATTGAACCAACAATCTTGCAGAATTGGAAGCAGGTTACGTAAAAAAATTGGATCTGTAGTTTACGATAAATTGAGGGCTGAACTTCAGACGAAGTTACTTCTAAAACGTACTTTAAGAAAGAAGGAAATCGCAATAGCAAAAGTTTTAAACCCAATAAAAGCAGTAAAACGAAAGAAATCAGTTTTAAAAAAAAAAGAAATATCAAAAAAGAGAAAGATAGATGTCATTAAAGGTAAAGTTGCTGGAAAAAAAAGGAAAAGAAAAAATGATGAATTATTTTAGAATAAAGTACATTTATTGATTTTACGAAAAACGTTAACTTCCTTTTTCTTGAATTCTGAAACTTTCTGAATTCGAAATGCATGTGTCTACCAAAAATAGATTCTATGTTAACTTGAATCTTTTGCAGATTCTAGGACTTTTCATAAACAGTATATCGCGTTATATAGCGAAAACTGCGCTATATTTGTGATCATAAACAAATATTGCTAATCAAATTTGTTTATAAACATTGCTAATCTCTCACAAAAATAGTTAAATTATTTTACCATGCCTATTACTAATGTCTTTACATCTAACAAGTCCCAAAACTCAATTTTTTTTACGAAATATTACGAATTTTTGGCTTCGTTCCTGTTTTTTTTTTAAATGCCACTGATCGTGTCATATTTCTTATTATTTTTTTAATGTCTTTATATCTAACAAGTCCCAATACTAAATTTTTTTTACGAAATATTACGAATTTTTGGCTTCGTTGCTGGTTTTTTCTTTAAATGCCACTGATCGTGTCATATTTTTTATTATTTTTTTCTTTTTTTTAAGTAAAAAAGAGTTTAATATTTTAAAAAATCTAAGGATATTATACATATTTTTTAAAAAACTTCCCATTTAAATTCTATTGCACGAAAAAGAAAGAAAGGTAGGAGGAAAGAAAAAATGAAAAAAAAATTCAAATTCATATTTCAGTATGGTTTCAAATGTTAATGAGGAAGGATGTATGATTTTTTATGCACATTTTGTATTTCCCAATAAGGTAAGTTGAGTAGTGTCGGCTAACAAAAATGTTATTAAAAGTAATAAAGGTTGACACATTTCAACAATTTGAATTATCTCATTTCGGTGATTTATAGATTACTTATAAAATTGTTTCAAATAATTTCAGTTAGTTTTTAAGTTATTTAGGTTTTATATAAGGTTGAGTAATGTCGACTAACAAAAATGTTAGTAAAAACAATATAGGTTGACACATTTCAACAATTTGAATTATTCATTTCGGTTATTAATACGTTACTTATAAAAATGTTTCAATAATTTCAGTTAGTTTTTAAGTTATTAAAAATAAATATGTATGTACGATTACCTACTTCCCATCAATTTTTTTTTAAATAATTATTTTAAAACTATTTCAAACATGTTATATTAAGTGCTTCAAAAATTTGTTGTGCTCTTCTTTCATATTTTCTTAGCAGGTAAACAAGAGCAACTTATTTATAAAATGGCCCTGTCTGTGTATGAATATTAATAGTAAACGCAAACGGACAAAAATTTACGGATATCAGTACCTACTACTTGTCATTTTACAATCGGAGTTTTTGAGTCATTTGCTAAGATACTACTTATTTAAAAAATAAAAAAGATATTCGAATCTTTAGAATCTTTAGAAAATCTAGAAGTGTATATAAAATAAATCTTTGGAAAATTTAGAAAAATATATAAAATTTGTATTTAAAAAATAATATTTGATTGTATTTTAGATATTATTTTCTAATTCCCTCTTCAAATTTTTTCTTTACTATGTGTTCATATCAATATTTAATAATTATCTTTCATTAATTATATTCTCAACTTGACACCACAGTTACTTCCCATATCTTGAGTTAACTTACCCTATGAGAAAAAAAAAATGTTCACTTAAAAATAATGAAATACTTTCAGCAACATATAAAATGTTGAAGGCGAAGGTTGTGCTTGTTGTTTTTCGGCTGTTTCAAGAATTTTAAAATAATTATGAATGAAAATATTAATATATTTTCTTGATTTTCCAAATATATTTTTAGAATTTTACCTGCTTTATAATAAGTGTAAATTTATTTTAATATTTCTTCTCAAAATATAACCACTTCGATTTAAAAAAAACCCATATAAAATAAGTTCGTGCTTTCAAGTTTCTCTCTGAGCATTGGGACTTGTTAGATATAAAGACATTACTAGTACAATTAAATCAGCTGTACTCTTTTTTTTTACCAGTTTTTGCGGTTTGGTTTTACATTTTTAATTGTTAAGTATTGTACTTAAAAATAACTTTTTTTTTTGTTTTTCTTAGTTTTTATTTTTCCTAAAATAGAATTTTCCACTATTTGGCCCAAAATAAATAATTTTTTTTTGTTAGCGACAATTTTTATTCTTGAACACAATACTGCAAATTCAAAAAAATAAAAGTTTTACTACAACTGTCGAAATATATTGCGTATGTATCACATCATTGCTTGCAGTATTGTGTTAATGAAAATCTATTCTATATTAGTTTGAATTTTTTTTTAAATTTGGTGTAATCTGCAGAAATTACACTTATCCCTCGCTTTGCATAACTAATAATATTTTTCGGAAATGTTACAACCATATAACTTTCTACGTAAACTTATATAGGTACATACTACGGCTGACAGAAACACATGTTTGCTGGCCTGCAATGTAAAAATACGAAAGTCGAAAAATTTGCGTAAGTTGATTTGCGATCTGCAAGTGGTTTGGTACTACGAAATAAAATCGCATTGTAAAAAATTTAAACTGACAGCATTTTCTAAAATTTTTTGTTTTTGACATTTCTGGCAGTTTTTTCAAAGTAAGCATTTGAATTATTTTAAAAAAGTGATATATTTAAATGTATGTATAACATTAAGAAGACGATTGTTATTTTTTTAAACATACTTACATATATGGATAACAAAAAATCTTTATGCGGGTTAAGATTTAAATGTTGTTCTTGTTCAGCAAACCATTTTGCTTATTATAATCGAATTTAGTACGCCTGTAGATGAAAAATTCAGTATCATAAAAATAAAACTGGAACGGAGTAAAGTCGAGAAAAAGGAAGCGAAACAAATTTGGTAAGTTAGCAGAAAATTAGTACTATTTTGCTATTTTCTTAAACCAGTATGGTTTTGTATTTTATTTTGACTTATAATTATAATTATTAATTACAAAAATTGAGTTGATTGCAGTAAATTTGAAATGCAAGGTTATTTTTAATTTAATAAAGCATATTTTGCACTTACGTTGTTTAGTTTTATATGGTTTTATTTATTCAGAAATTTAGATTTTCGCAGTAAGATTCGTATACAAAATCGCAAGTGAATGAAAGTATGCGAGAGTAGCATTCTGTGGTGCCACTTTTGCTACTTCCGCATACACAAGTTTGCAATGCTCGATTTACATAGTGTCAAAATTTAAAATACGAGAATCGTTTAGCGAAAGAAGCACTACATAGTAGGCCACATGGAATCTAAGAGAGAGTAACAGTGCACAGCTGACGAATTTACACATATACTTATTCTTAAGTGGTCTATAGAGGGTCCTTTATAAAATCATAACAATGATTTTGTGGGTAACACCATAAATCTTCCACCAAATCAACTTTTTTCAAATACATATTTAATTAGAAAAAGTTAAAATTCAATCTTTATACCCTGCACTTCGTGAAGGGTATATTAACTTTGGTATGGAGTTTGTAACTACTTGAAGGAGTCATTTGCGATATGGACATATATATTCTTGCTCAGCGTAAAATTCTGCGTCGATCCATCCGTCCGCCCGTCCGATCGCACGATAACTCAAAAACGAATAATGCAATCGACACCAAACTTTCACAAGTTTTTTCTTTTGTGCCAAGGACGAACCCTATTGTTATTGGACTAATTCGGACAACGGGTTCGCGTAGCTGCCATACAACTCAAAGAATTTATTTTAAATATTTCAAAAATTAATAAAGCTATAAACATAAAATTTTGTATACATGTGTCCAATTATATTCTACACAGATATATTTCTGAAGTTTTGATGGAATTGCTTGACAGGTTCGAGTAGCTCCCATACAAGTCTAAAAGCTTATTTTAAATAATTTGAAAAATAATAAAGTCAGATTCATGAGACTTGGCAGTCGTGCGTCCAATTATAGGTCAGACATATTTCTAAAGTTTTGGTGGGATTGCTTGACAGGTTCGAGTAGCTCCCATACAAATCTAAAAGCTTATTCTTAATATTTGGAAAAATAATAAAGTCAGATTCATGAAACTTGGCAGTAGTGTGTCCGATTATAGATTAGATATATTTGTGAAGTTTTAATGGAATTGCCTGACATGTTCGAGCAGTTCCCATACAAGTCCAAAAGTTTATTCTAAATATTTGGAAAAATAATAAAGTTGATTCATGAAACTTGGCAGTCGGATGTTTAATTATAGATCAGACATTTCCGTGAAGTTTTTGTAGAATGATTTCACAGGTTCGAGTAATTGCTACACAATAACCAAAAGTGCAGGGTATAATTCAATCGGTTTATACCAACTGAAACGTTTTTACTTGTTTTCTACTTTACTAGTGCTTACATTCTTAAAGTTTTGTGTTAATCTACACTTGTGTTCTGCTTACTAATATATCTTGCACCAGATCGGGAAAAGAATACATTACTAAATGCGTACGTATTTAGTAATGTATTACATATGTAAGTATGCACATTATTATAAAATAATGTAGATTTTATTAACTCTACAATTTTCTTAAGAAAATGTTCACTTCTTGTTATAATTCACACTTTCAAATATCAATTTACATACAATATTTATACCAAAAGTAAATAAAACTTTCCCTTACAGGATGCAGTACCATTTTCTAAAAAGCGATCACAAAGCATCTTGGGAGGGACTGAAAGGGGAGGGTGGGTGGAATTAATACTTTTTCTGGGACCCTAGAGGCAAAACCCTATTCCATGTCTTTTATCCCATGTCTCTAGACCTTTCGCTAGTACCCGTACTTTTTGTCACCTGAAAAGTAGCTTGTATATATATATGTATAATGTAAAATAGGATGGTTTTTGAAGAGTTATATGAAATATGTATAAAATATAGAATTATAAAGGGAAACTCAAGGTGCTGCGTAGCCTAGTATTTAGCGTGGTAGTCTGATAACCAGAAGGTTATTGGATCGATGCTTGATATTGTCGTATTTTTCTTTTTTTGGATTATTTTAAAAAAATTTTTTTTTATTTTGCTTACATTTTTTGTTTTATTTTTTTTTAATATATAACAGATAAATATGATT